GCGGGTGCGAGAACTGCAGCGGGTGCGAGAACTGCAGCGGGTGCGAGAACTGCAGCGGGTTCTCCTTCTCCGACTCCAAACTACAGAGCTGCCTCTCTTGCCCTGCCTTTTGGGTTCTGAACCGTGTAAATGAATCACAGACACTCCTCCCAGGATGTCTGTGACCGTGGGAAAGATAAGACTCAAGGTTGGTGACAGAAAGGAAAGGTGTGTTAGCTCAACTTCAGGCCTCAAGGCTTCCAAGGTTCACTTTTTCTCTGTGACAGTCTTAAAAAGAAAAAGTCAAATTTTCCTTCCATTTTGTCTTAGGGTTTTTATTGCTGTGCACACCATGACCATGGCAACTCTTAAAAAGGAAAACATTTAGTTGGGGTGGCTGGCTTACAGTTTCAGCCCATTATCATCACCATGGGGAGCACGGTGGCATACAGACAGACATGGTGCTGGAGAGGAAGCTAGTAATCCCATGTCTTACAGGCAACAGGAAATCAACTGAGACACTGGTGGTATGTTGATCATAGGGAACCTTAAAGCCCACCCATATGCTGGAGGACATACTTCCTCCAACAAGGCCAAACCCACTCAAAAAAGCTCTACCTAATAGTGCCCCTCCTTATGAGATTATGGGGGTCAATTACATTCAAACTACCAAACATTTGTTTCCAAATTCACTCTGGGGCTTTTGGGGGAGGGAGTTGTTTGTTGGTTGGTTGTTTTTCAAGACAGGTTTTCACTGTGTAGCCCTGGCTGTCCTGGACCACGCTGTGTAGAGCAGGCTGGCCTCGAACTTGGACATCTACTTGCCTCTGCATCCAAGATTAAAGGCATGTGCCACCACTGCCAGCCTCTCTCAATCTCTCTCTCTCTCTCCTCTCTTTCCTCTTTTTCTTCGATCCTCTTCCCCTTTTTGAGACAGGTTCTCTCTACCACTTTAACCTCGCCCTGGAGGATGTTATACTATGTCTTTGGAAGTGTTACGTTGCCATAAACTGCAGAAACAGGGAGTATGAATAGATTTACTGATGATATAGTAGCATCACCTCTCGTTATTAGGAGGAATAGGAACGCACTTTCCCTTCCCAAACCCAAGTTAGCTGGCTCCTCCCACCCCCTCTTCGCCCCGCCCGGGCCTCGGGCCTCTGTTTACCCTGCTCGTGCCGTGGGAGAGGTTTCCTTACGCACAGGCTTCGCGTTAGCGCGGAAGACGCATTGCAGCAACATCCTGGGAGGCGACGGACTATACTCTTTCCGCTCGTCTCGATCGTCCTCTTTGTGACCTGTGGAACAACCCGGGAGCCGGCGGGTTCCGTGCCCCCCACAGTCCTCCGGGCCGCCAGAGGGCAGTGCGGAGAAACCCTGCCCGGCTGGGCGGGGCGCGAGGAGGGCGCATGCGCACTCGGCAGTGCGTGGTCGCAGGCGAGCGCCGCGCCGACCCGGCCGGAGCTGCGGCGAGTGCACATAATACAGCCCCCGGTTTGTTCCACAGGTCACAAAGAGGACGATCGAGAC